AGGATCGCCTTCCTCACTGCTCCGGGACTCTGTGCTTTGACCCCTTTACTTCCCTTGTTCGCCTGCGTTGCCAGCTTGCATCCTGGTCCCCACCGCTGTGCATCAAGAGTAGTGTCCCGAAAGCAGAACTGTCTCCGTTAGAAACTGAAACGAGGGTTCCACTCTCTGATACCGTGCTTTGCTGTTCCAGATTTCTTCTTGGAACGGAGTTGTGCCACTCCTTCCTCCAGATAGGATCATTCCTCAACTCAGCAACCCTCCCCCCTGCCAACCATGTCTTGATGAACTTGTCTCTAGCCTTCTTCCACTGCTCTTCGTCGTCTATCCCTGTTTTCYTGATCTTCTTCCATCTGTATAGAATTTCTGCCTGTATCAGAACCTTTGTCTCCACCCAGACTCTCTCCCGTGCGCTTGCAGCCTCCTCAATCGTTCTGCTGCATCTTTCCTTCCATATGACCCAAGGCAGGTCTTTCTGGTGAACTCAAACCAGATCCTTTCTGTTTTCCGTGGCCACTAAGGGATGCCAATCAAAAGGAGGAGTTTTCCTCTCTTTCCTTTAGCCCTACCCCATTCCTGCTAATCTTCTCTGTATCGCTCCAATTTTAATGGATGTCCCGAAGGATGCGTCAGTCCGGTTCCTTTTTTTTTTTTTTTTTTAAATTTAATTTTATTTTATTTTTAAAACAGGCGGGACCTTACGGTCCTGGCTCCTTCTATTCTGGGGAGCATCAGTCCGGTTCCTATTCCACCGGCAAGTCAAAATAGAAAATTACAACAAGTGTATACACCCCCGCTTCCTTCCRTCYGGCCGAAGGATCCCTGGGCAGCATTGATTACTCYACCACAGTGGAGGATTGACTGCCAGCTTGCCCATCCTCTCCCTTTCCTCTCAGACCAGACAAAATGGTCTGTCTGATTTCATCRCTAAATCCTGGAAAGAGACCCTCTATTGAGATCATCCCCCCGAGCCCTTCCCGTTCCACCTGTTTTTCTTTTTACCTCAGCAACCCTTAAACCCTGAACCCTAAACCCTCATCCTTCTTAACTKCTCCCTGATATAGCATTCCCATTCAAGGATCGCCTTCCCCTTTGGTCCRGGACTGTTTGTTTTGCCCCTTTTGCTTCCCTTATTCGCCTGCGTTGCCAGCTTACATCCTGGTCYCCTCCGCTGTRGACCAAGAGCGATCTGTAACGTGGGTTCCGCTCCCTGCTGCAATGCTTTGTTGTACCAGCTTTCTTCTTGAAACCGAGTTGTGTCGCTTCTGCCTCCTGATGGAATCATTCCTCCTCTTRGCAGCCCTCCCCCCTACTATCCATGACTTGATGAACTTGTCTCTAGCMTTCTTCCGCTACTCATCGTTGTCTGTCCCTTTTCCCTTGAAGTTCTTCCGTCTGCATAGAATTTCTTCCTGCATCCAATCCTTAGTCTCTCCCCAGACTCTCTCCCGTGCGGTTACAGCCTTTACAATCATTCTGCCACGTCTTATCTTCCATATGCCTCAAGGGACGTTTTACTGGAGAACTCTAACCAGATCGTATAATGCTTTCCGAGGCCACTAAGGGATGACAATCAAAAGAGAAGTTAGTTTTTCTCTCTTTCCTTTAGCCCTSCTCCCTTTCTGCTCCCTGATATCCTCGTCCCTCCTCTCTCCATATGAAACAAAGCTGTACACCTCTGGGCTCTGCTACTATCCCCTGACCCAAAATATTCTGTTTAAATTTTTTGATTATTTCCTCCTCTTGCCCAGGTTGTTGTCTCGCTTGCTGTCTCACTCTTTTCCACTGTGCGTTGAGATGTGATTCCACTGTATTGAGGAGCAGCTCCCTAGCTTCCTCCCTATGAGTTAGTGTTCCTTCCATGGTTGCCTGACATCTTCTTTTCCAGATGGTCCACAGTCCGTATTGTCTCAGCAGTTGAAAGATGTGCCTTTGGTAGGGTTGCCAACCTTTGGGAATCCCGACCCCCAAGAGGATGGTAATCTTTGACTCTGGAAAAGCTATCGTCGCTACCTGCTTCCAGATCCCCTTAACTTGTTCCCACATTTCTTCTGCCTCCTTACATTCCAGTAGACAATGCACCAAAGTTTCCGGATGCCCCTCTTGGCACACCCTGCAAAGCTCCGCTTCCTCATTCCTCTGATTGTGACTTCTTCTTTCGTTGAGCCACACATTCACTGGTAATGCCACGTGCGCTATTAGCCATTGCATACTTCTAACCTGGCCCAGTCTGATAGCTAGGATGCTAGACCACGGTATATCCGGTATTTGGCTCCTGGGGATCCCTACTTTCTTCTCCCAGCGTTTGGACAGAGTGTGTCCCATGGACCTGGGTCTGTTCCTCAGTCTATACCCCATTTTTGTGGTATATTGAAGAATGTTGATTCTTCTTGCTACTCTTGAGTGTCCATCTCTAATGTTCCAGGCCCATTCTCCAGGATCGACCTCCAGATCTTCGATTGGCACTGTTGAGCTGTATACTGTGTACTCATCCATCTCTATCACTCTTACCTTCTGTAACCCTTGTTTGAGAATATACAATGGTGCTTTAGAGGACTTATCAAGTTGGGAAGTGGTACTGTTCGGCTGTATTATGTCATATTTATCAGCTACTAGCCATTCATTCCTATCTTTGTCCGTGTCCCAAACCCTGAAGACCTGTTTAGGTTCCGGATCATCCTCCCATGTGGCCCAATCCCCCTCTCGCCATTGTATTCCCTCTCTCAGCAATAGWACCCAGGTTGGGTGTATGGAGTCMGTGACTATTCTCAGATTGTCCTGAAGATTGTGRCACCCCTTCAATGCCCTCCTCAGTTCACCTGCTGTTTTCCAYCGCTTGTTCTCATCATCCCAAATGTGTTTGATTTGCCATATCCCATGCTCCACCCATCTGCCCCATCTCGAATCCTTGCTCGTAAGTGTTAGGGGCTTTCCGCAGCCGTCCCTTATGCAAATATTGCAGAAAATCGGTTGTCTTAATACCTCCTCCCTAGTAGTAGGTTCCCTGACCCTTGCTGGGAAGACCTCCTTCCACAGTTGTATAAGCTGCAGCCAATAGGAGGGGTTTCTGGCCCTCCCACCTTGTGGATCCCTGTTCTCCCTCCTATAGCCCACTTTAGCCCAGCTGCTACACATGATCCAGAACAGCCCCGACATGTTGTCAGGTGTTCTATACRTAGCTATCTGCCTGATCCTATCCAATACTAGGGAAGTCCATGACAACCTGGGCTGTGAGATTAGCTTGACCAACCATTTTGTTTGCAAGGCCTTCAGCTGTAGACTTGGGTCTAGGATGCCTAGGCCATTGTCTAGAATAAATCTACCCGGTATGAATCCTGTTTGATCCAGATGGAAGCAGCCCGCCGTGATTTTGGATAGTCGATTAGCTAGCGCCTTGGCTACTATTTTGTGAGTGAGAGTCAACAAAGTTATTGGTCTATAATTTCGTATGTCCGTTGGGCTCCCTTTTTTGTAGAGCAGCRTGACTATCCCCRTTGCGGGCTCGCTCCCTAAACCCTCATCCTGCCATGACTGTTCGAGAAAGGAAAGATATTCCTCACCCAGAATTGGCCAAAATTCTAGCCAGAATTCTCTTGTCAGGCCATCTTTCCCAGGGGTTTTATTTGGGGTCATCGTTTTTAGTGCCTCCCATAGCTCGTCTTGTGTTAAGGGTTCGTCCAGCATGGCGGCATGCTTGCGTGAAATTGTGTTCTCAAGATAATTAAGAAACTTTGATCTCGCCTCCTCAACTTTAGGCTTAGGGAACTGGTCTTCCACTGATGTATATAGCTTACTATAGAAGTCAAAAGCCACCCTTAACAACCCCTCCATGTCGGAAGTCGGCCCCCCTTCCCCTTCTAAGCTCGCTATGAGATTGTCCCTGCCCCTAGTCTTGATTTTTTGGAAGAAAAATTTGGTAATTCTCTCCCCTTCTTCCCATTCTTTGATTCTAGCTCTCATTCTTAATCCTTTCATTTTCCAGCGCTGCCACTCCGCCATCTCTCCTTTTGCCGTCTCTAATGTTCTTTCATATATTTCGTCCCCTGACCTAAGAATAGTATTGCGCTCTGCTATCTCTATTGCTCGCGTCAGTTCTTCCTCTCTTTCCTTCCTCTTTGTCGCGAGCCTTCTAGCCACAAGAGCAGAAGCTTTAGAYWGTGATGTTAGCAGATCTGGGAATGAGTGTGTGTCCGGGTTATATTCCTGACACACTTGTAAGACCGCCTGTCTCATTTCCTTAGTTTTAAGGAGGGAATTATTGATTTTATAGAACCCCTTACCCCTGCTGATTTGTTTGTCTGATGTCAAACTCAAAAGAATAGGTTTGTGGTCCAAACCCACGTCGTACGGAAGGGTACCTATGTATACTGAAAGCAGCATGCCCGTTATGCCTGGTGATGTTAAGAAGTAGTCTATCCTGGAAGCCGACACGTGTTGGCTACGGTTTCTCTTTCTAAAGGTGAATTGTCTTTCATTGGGGAAGAGTAACCTGTACGGGTCTATCAGTTCTAAATTCATTATTAGCCCATGAATCGGTAGAGACTCTTCTGTCCAGCACTCTTCCTCTGATCTGAAGCCCCCTGAAATTCTGTCTAGGCCGGGATCTAATGTGGCATTCCAGTCTCCTGCTAAGATCAGGTGTCTATCCCCATCCAGGAGTGGTTTGAGCCTTTCGATCATATCTAATCTTTGTTGATAACCGTCCGGACAGTAAACTGACAGTAGCGTGTAGGGTTCCTCATGCAGCTTGAAGTCAATCTTGACCCATCTTCCCTCCTCCTCATCCACCCTTGTTTCTGTGATAATAATCTTGTCTGCCGCATTCACTTTTTTGTTCTGAAGTATAACTACTCCCGTGGAGTGATTGTTTGCTGCTGGGGCCCACCATGCTGCCTTGATTCTTTGCAGTTTCTTCACTATCTGGTACTTCGTTTTCTGGTGTGCTATCGACTCTTGTAAGTGTGTTTCCTACAAGCACAAAAAATCCGGTGGAGACAGAGAGAAACATTCTGAGTAATTTACTACGTTTTGCCACTTGACTCCATTCTCTAGAATCCCAACTAGGCCATTCACATTCCAAGATGTAATTTTGAGTTTCGGAAGACCCTTACCCCCCTCAAACCTTCTTCTCTGCTTTCTTGGTCTTTTTAACTCTCCTCTCTCCATTGGGTCCGTTCGTTAGAATGTAGACTCACCCTCCGTCTTTCCTTGTTTAAGTGTCTTGTGCAGTGAGCTCTATGGTTGTTGCCACCCTACTTACCCTCTTCTCGAAGAAGTCTGGCTTCCAAGCAAACGCCTCCACTTTTGTCRCTACCGCTGTGCACCTTGCAACCCATTCCGCWCCTAGTTCCCCCCCAATCAACCCATAGGGAATGGTTTCCACCACTTGCCAAAGCATCCACATCAAACCCTCTCTTAGCTCAGCATCGGTCCCCATTTGGAGCAGCAGTGGACCGAAATCTGTCATTATCCCCTCCTCTCCTTCCTCTCCTAGTGCCATCGGCTCCACTCCTCCCTCCCTCAGTATGAATGCACGAGCAGGCACCTCTCCCCCTATTAGTTTCTGAAGCTCCGAGCCAGAGCACTCCTCAGTCGGGGTTGTTATCATCTGTAAGGATTGGTAGATTGCCACTTCCCAGTCCGAGTGACTTGCATTCCATCGACATGGAAGGACTACTYTTCTCCTCCTCCCGTTTTTGGATTYCAGTCTGGCCGCGGCTTCAATCTCTTTCCACTGTCCTGTCGCTATTTTTTGTACATTCACTGTGTCGTCCTCCAATTCCCTGTTCTCGTCCTTGAGCAGRTTCACCTGCACAACCAAAATCGCGGCTTGCCTTCTCAAATCTTGGATCTCTTCCTCTTCACTCTCTCCCKTCCCTTGTTCTTCTYCCATTGCAGCTCCCTCCATTGGGYCATTTCTTCCCTCCACTGTACTGCTTTGGTCCTCTACCRCCTGAGCCTTTYGTTTCTTGYTGTCCCTCTTCCTTTCCTTGTTATGATAGGACTTTGGCCATTGMRATATCCTCTCATATTCCTCCTGCTGTATGTGTATATCGTTCCTTACTGTACGGGACTTTCTTGCATACTGAGATGCRTAGAACTCATTGACTTCTCCCTCCCTCCTTAGCAGTTCAAACCTGTTCTCTGACGTAATGTCTTCCCCTGCTTGAGTGGYTTGTTGTAGGTTCCTTAGGTGTTTGTAGTGGGCCAGCCTGATTTCACACTCAATCGTCCTCCCCCATTCCAGTTGCTCCACCTCTTTTACCCACCGTTCCCTTGYCCAATCCTCCACATCAGCGTCTTCCTGTTCATCCTCCTCCTCTTCCTCMTCCTCTTCTGATGAAGCTTCGCCTTCTGTGTCTGGTGAACCCTCTCTTTGGTCCTCTTCTGCCTGAAGTATCTGTTCCACTGACATGTTCTCAGTGTTTTGCATGCCTCTCCTTCTCGCTCTTTCTCTTACCCTTTCTTCTTCCTCCGCTGTTATATGTCCCTGGGCCCCCTGAGATCTGCCTCTGTCCTCTTCCTGTTGTGATGATCCCCCTAGATGATCCTTGTCTGTCTAGTCCTCTCTCTTATCTACAATGCTTGTCCCTACCTCTCCTGCCCTGGTGCCCTTTGAGGTCGAGTCATGTGAGGTTGACTCTGCCTCACTATCTTTGCCCGAAGTCTCTGATGAATCCATGCTTGTTCTGCCCTCTTCCTCTTCCTCTCTTGTGGTGGCCCCTTCCCCTGATTGGGTCTTTTGTCTCCTTTTTCCCTGTTGCGACTCTCCTTCTTGAGCGTTAGATCCCTCTTCTCCTCTATACTCTCCCTTCCTCTTTGTGGAGAAACTTCCTCCCTCTGTTCCCCCCTTCCTTCCTTCTTCGTAGTCCAAGTTGTCTCCCTCGCCCTCCTCCATGTCTTTTGACCTGTCCTCCTTGCCTCTTGTCTGCTCCTGCTGCTGTGCTCTGACTTGTGCATTTTCCAAGAAAGCCAATTCCGCGTAAAGCCAATTCCGCGTTTTTACCGACCTCATGTAGTTCCTCCATGAGCTTCAATCTCTGCTCATCGTCCTGTATGACCGCATCATCCAACATTGGTTTGACGATGAAACCGGTTTCCTTGTCTTCCATTCTCTTAGCTCCTGTGTGTCTCCACCTGCTGTCGTATGGTGGATAGATGTCCGGCTTGACCGTTGGATCCTTCTTCAGCACCCAAACCCACCTTGGATTTTYCARGTTGTCATCGAATATCCAACYCCTGTATAAGGAGGAATTGATGTACCAGACTCCTGGCTTGCTTTCACACTCCTGTAGCATAGATTGTCTCAATGCCGCCTTTTTTCCTYCTGTTGCTCCTGCTTCGCCTTGTGGGCAAGAGGTTCCCAGGTGACCTCTACCCCTGCATTTGAAACAGAAGGGGTTGGTCTTGGTCGAGATGAAGACYGTGATTCTCTGGCCACKTTTCTTGAAAATCCATTGATCMGGGAACTTCGGCGGTGCTCCTRACTTGACTTCCAAGCAAGCCACCCTTGCATCGTGATTTGGCGCCARGAAGTYGGGGTTGGCCGGGAGCCATTCTATGATTGGATTGCTCGGAAATTCCTCYTGCAGTCTCCTTTGCACGAAGYTGTGCATCCCTTCCGATAAGTTGTCAAACTGAACCCAGAAATGGTTCCTCAGCATTGATTGTCTGTGTCTTGATGCTTCGGCTTGGGGTGGTCTTGGCGGCTTCCAGGGTTGAATTGTGACTACTGCCCCTTTGCATTTTAAAGAGCCGATCGACAGCAGGTACTGGGCATAGGTAGGATCCACGCAGACGATCATCACGACAAACCTTCCTCTCCTRTGGAATGACACCTCTGGTTCCTTCMCGGGTATATCCTCCATWGCTAACAGTYTGTCCCTCACCCACCTTCTCTTCTCATTTAAAGAAAGYTCCCTGCTTCTTCCCGAGAAGTTGAACARAACCGCATGCTTCAYGTACAGTTCATTCAGAGATTGGATRTCCTCTTYAGGATATTCCCAAACGTCCACTTCCTCTTCCTTCCCACCCTCTCCCTTGACTACTTCTTTCGTGATCTTGATCTYCGYCRTAACCTGCGTTTTCTCCATAAGGAAGTCCATCGCCTTTTGTCCCAAAGATCGCGATTTGGCTTCGCCTGTTGTCGGTGTTGTACCTGACTGTGATGCCRACTGTCCCGTTTGGGACGTTGTCATTCCCCCTTGTCCTCGGGTAAAGTCCATCTTCTCCCTCCCGCTCATTGCCTTTTGGGCTGCCATGGAATAAGAGATCACCATCTTAGGATCAGCGTGCGAGGAATGAAGCAGTAAAAGGGACAGGACTTCGGCTCCCCCCCTGGGGAACGTGGGAGAGAAATGAATAAGGGAAGGTCGGGCTTCTCTTTCGGATCGTGGGATCAGCGTGAGGAAAKAAGAGTTTCGCCTCCYCGCTTGGGGATCGTGGGAGAGGAATGAATGACARAAAGGATAAGGCTTTTCTTTCAGGTCGTGGGATTAGTGCGGGGAAAAAGGTAGAGYTTCTCCTCCCCTCCTGGGGATCGCGGGARCAATGYAGGAAGGATGAATATCGTAGGAGGTCGGATGAATTGAATTTACCGAAGTGAATAATAATAATAATTACTGAGTGCCAGGAAGTCTACTGATGGATGTCCGACTCGCCAATCATGCTGGTAAGTGGAGAGAGGTGAGCGATGAGGGGAGGTGAGTGTTACTCGGGATTGATTACGTGGCAAGGAAGGGGGACGTTTGTCGGAATGGGTTGGGTAGCGATCGGAGAGTGAAAAGGGCGGGATTGATGTGGGAGGTGCTTGGGTGTTTCCCCGGG